GGGGGTCAGGGCGGGCGGTGGGGTCGGTGCTCGATCCCCCCCACCCCGCGGTATCTGCCCAGCGATGGAGCAGAGGCCGCGCTACAAATGCCCCCCGGTTGGGGACCGAATTCCTTAATTGGGTTGTCATTAAAAGTTCCCGGTGCCGAACGTTTGCTTTCGCTCTCGGAAGAGGCTGCGTTAACGAGAAACTCCTCCTGGAAGAGCTCGTTTCTGTGTTACGGCCGCGGTTAGTCCCACCGAGAAGGGACCGGGTGGGTCTGAGTTCCAGGCTGGCTCCACAAGAGCCCCGGTGGGAGCTGCGGGTCCCTGGGGGAATCACAGAATCTCTTAGGTTGGAAAAGACCATTAAGATCATCAGGCGTGGCTTCTGCGCCAGGCCTGGGCGAGCTCCGCTGTACGATGAGGGCACGTCGGGACAGGCCGTGCTCCCTCTCCTCCTCCCTGGGACGGGTCGCTTGCTCCCGACCAGGCTGCTTTGGCTGTGCCTGGTGTTTTGGGTTTTTTTTCCTCTGATTGCAAGACTGTTTCTATTTACAGGGCCTCTTCTAAACAACCAAACCCTTGGCTCTCCAACTGAGGATGGTCGTCCTTGCTGGGTAAGCCTCCTGCCTTTGTCCCACGGGCCTTGGAGAAGCAGCAGAAGTAAGTGCGGGCGTGCTTGATGGCACCGTGCAGACAAGCGGCCACATGAGGTGAGGCTCCTGGGCTTGAGACAACATTGCCGGTGCCTGTCCTCCCGTCGGTGCCTGTCCTCCCGTCTGGCTGCGGCAGTGCCTCGAGCCCTGGCGAGGCTGCTGTTTCCCCCTGACAGTTGCTGTGTTACATTTGTGCTCTCCAGCACTGAGGTAACTCCAAAAGTACCAGTAGATCCTGTTACTCAAACACAGCTGCCCATGCCTGAGCTCAGCACACCCCTCCTGCAGAATAGGAGCGCTCGTTAGAGATTTGTGTTTCGTACCACACATCTACTGCCACAGCCCCTTCGTGTCACCAGGGTAACCAAACGCTGCCGTATCCCCCAGGGGAGAATCCTGTTTAGGGAGCAGATCTTCACAGTGAGCACGAAATGGGGGCGTGTGCGCGGCACCCTGCCCAGACTGGGTGGCCGAGGTGGCCAAGGTGCCCTGGTGTCGGTGGCAGCCACCTGTGTGGCTGCATCACTGTTTTTGGTTTTTTTTAAAACCCCCCCCCCCCCGCCTCTTCCAAGAGTGTGGGCCCATAACTGTGATTGCTTTTTTGGCATTTGCAATTCCACTTCCAGTCACACATTTGGCAGCCTAAAGGGTTGTTCTTATGGGCTGAGGATGCCAGGAGTCCCCTAGGAAGAAACATCTCTTTGCTGGGCTCAGTAGCGATGACAGAGTGGCTCAGGAGCACGTGTCCGACTTCACTGTTAAATAACAGCATGAGAGAGATTTATTCTGAGCCTGTTAAGCTGGTCCTGTGTTCTACTTAGGCTTAGTCTTTTTATCTCTACCCATCTTCCTCCTCCATAAGACCTACTAAAGCAGTCGAAAGAAAGGTTGTTGGGGTTTTTTTTGTCCTCCCTTCCATTAAGCTTCTGGTCAGACTTCACTGAAAACACTGCAAATAAGTGTTTGCCTCTCTGGTGCCTCTGAGTGAGTAGATGAGAGGGGAAATATGTTTTTTCATTTCCTAAATGTAGTTGTCTGTAACTGTTTCCTTGACAGCCTTGAATGTCATCCAGGTCAAAGAGCCAGTGCTGGGGAGGAAGTTAAATCCTTTCTGTGTCATCCTGACCTTTTTCTATTTGAACACAACAGCGTGGACTATCAACCTATTTCAGGGTGGGACATTAAAAGCGCTTGGTGAAAGAAAGCTAACAGCAGGAGGGGGGAATGATTTCAGCTGGGGGTTGTTCTGCTGTTTTTCTAGGGGAGAATTCTGTGAGGAGGCTTTTAACCTGCTTGGTTTTGATGGCTTTTGCTCCTCACAACTTAACTGCAATACTTCAGAGAAAACAAAAACCTACAGTTAATTGTTGAGCACCTTTATCCTTCACTAAAGGTTGTGAGCTCTCAAATCCTAAAATAAAACAAACACTCTGGTGCTGAGGAGGAAAGGGAACATTGCATGAGGGCAGAGAAATGAGGCCGCTTGGGCAATGTGCTTTCAGGCCTATTTCTGTCTGTCACAGCAAACTGAAAGGACACCAACTTTGGGGAAAGAGCTCTGTGACCCTCTGGTCCTTGCTCTGTTATGCTTTCCCTGTCTAACTCTGGAGATGGCATCTGCGTCAGCCGCACGGCTGCTTTTGCCACCTATGGGCAACCATATTCATCTCGCTACTTCAGCCAAGCTCCCTTGAAGCTCTGTAGCAGCACTCTCGTGATGGAAGGAACCATTATGTCACCCATAAGGGCAAAAATACCTGGTCTGTGTTAATGTGGGTGCAGTTCTCTGCTGATTCAGCTCCTATCAGGAAGTAAAGATGGGAATCTATTTTTAATAGATCAGGCAATGTGTGATTTATGACTGCTCCGGTCACACATTGGGGTAAATCCTGTGTGACCAGTTGAGTGCCAACATCACAGAGGCCAAGAGAATAAAACTTTAGAAGAACTTGGATTAGAAGAACCTTTACTTTAAGCTTGGCTCGTGTTTTAGTTAATGTCATTTATTAACATTTTGAAGAGAGATGGTTTTGGCAAACAAAGCAGCCATTTAGAAAGGCAGCCATTTGGAAAGGCAGCAAGGAGTACAGCTGATGCTCTTGGTACTGCAGCAGAAACCCCCCTAACTCTGCCCACCATCTCATTTTTCTTAAATAAAACTATTTTCAAGCTACCCATATATTTTTTATTGCTGTTAAAGGACAACTCCAACTTAAAACAAGCCCTTCTGCCTGTGACGCCATAAAGAAAGAAAAGACTGGGCTCTCACCTGCCTTATACTGAGGTGGTTGCTTACAGCTCTAGGAAATGTGATTAAATAAGAAGGCTAAACTAACGCAACAGCTCACTGGTAACAAAATCAGCATTTTCTGAAGGTTTAACTCCTCAATGCAGCCCACTCTGTAATCAGCTGAGTTGCAGCATCAGCCCAGTGAAGCACCAGGACCACGCACTGGGGCCCAGGACAGTCAGAGCCAGTGAAGCAGGAGCTGATTTAGCTCCCGTGCTACACTGTGCCCTTGGCCTGCACAGGCAGCACTGGTTTGGGCCCCTCAAAGCTTTGAGCTGCTCTTGTGGACAGTAAGTCTGTTGATGTGGTTCCCTGCAGGACCTTATGCCTATGCAAATAGTAAGTCCGCAGAGCTTTAGGCTTCCTGCATCCCTCGAGGAGGATGCTTTCTGAGGGTCATGGTCCCCTGCTGCTGGGTAAATGCCTTGGATCGATGTTCTAGGCGTGAACTCGTGGCAGTCCTGGCCCAATTACTGTTTTTATGATTCCTAATGACAGGCTTTAGGTTTCTAGCCTGCTTATGGATTTCAGGGGTGTGGAGTGACAGTTGCTCACTCGGAGCTTACTGACCTCCTCCAGGCTGTGGGGTTTGGAGATGACTTCAGCCACCTCCTGCACACAGATGGATTCCTGGGCTTCTCCTGAGCTCTGCACGCTTCAGCAGCTCTCCAGGGAACGCACTCCCGTGGAGCAATCTGCTCATTCGTGGCCTTTGAGTCACAAACAAGCTATTTCCCTCCTCCTGCTCTACCCCTGCAAGCTAAGCCAAGAGGTACCCATGTCACTCTGTCAGAGCGTTGCTCCTTCTTGCCTGCGTTTACTTTGCTTTTCTAGCGATTTGTAAGCTGTGACTGGCAGACGGTTCAGTCGCTGCTGCTGTACGGCTGATTCCCTGTGATCCCCTGCCTATAGCCATCTGTCACCTACCTGTCTTAAAGTTAAAACTCTCTGGTCTTTAGAGGTGACTCAAAGATAAAAGTCTGCACCCCAACGCTGTGTCCCACTGACACCTTAAGCCTGCCGGCCACCTCGCCATGGGGCTGGGGTGCCCTCCTCGTCCCCGGGGAGGAGCAGTTTAAGTGCCACCCTCTCCTGCGTGCACCGAGAGAAGCAGGTAGGGAAGTGGGTCTGGCAAGGGCAGCAGGAAGTGCTGGAACTTGCAGTGATCCCAAGCTGTTCCTGGAGGAATAGGTGTGATGGTTTTGGACTGGCTCATATAAAAGGGCTATCTGCTGAACGGATCTTTCCCTGGTGAGGAGTTTCACTGTGCTTGAGGGACAAATGTGTGGTCTTGTAAGCATTTCCTTTGTTCCTGAGGCTAGGGCTTTCTGGGATACTTGGCCTTGCTATGCTGAAGGGGAGCATCTATCCCTTGACCTTGACTTGTCATCTGCAAAGAAGTCATCTAAAAAAAACCCACATCTGGTGCGTGACAGAGATGAACACTGCTGAAGGGTGCTGGAATGCTCTGCGGCCTCCTAGCTAGCGCCGAGCTGTGCATTTTTGTCCTGCCACAGAGGAGTCCTGGCTTACACCGCCGGGTGGGTGACAGAGCAATTTTTCACCTTTTAAAAAGTCTGAATTTACCTTCTAGCAGCTTCAGCTCTACATTTAATCCTTTGATTCATTATTGATGTGAAGTCTGTGGATGGCGCGGTAGCCACCTGATTCCAGGTATCCGTTCACTCGGTTTGCGGAGTGCTGCGTGGAAATGGGTCAGAGCTAAGCTGGGGGGGCTGTTGGCATCCTGCAAGGAGCTTCCTGAGACTCGGGG